ACTGTACTCCAGCCTGGGTGACAGAGCAAAACCCCAGCTCAAAGAAAAAAGAAAGAAAAGGAGAGGCCAGAGCTGGGACAAGGCCTTGGAGAAGGTTAACATGCTCTGTACTCCAGACCGCAGAGGAAGGGGCCTGCCTCTCAGATTATCAGCCTCCAGCCTGAAAAGCTTGGATGTGGTCACCCTCATCACAACACCACCCCTTGATGAAAACCCTTGGTGCCCTCAGTATTTCTCAGTATAGTCAAGTGGAAACCCTTGCTGAGCTACCAACCACCTCCCATCCACTAAGGGACAGCCCCTTTGGTATAGCAGCTTAGGCTGTCCCTTCACATACAGTCTCTCTCCCCTTCTTGCCCTCTGCTGGGCAGGGCTTTCTCTGCTTCCTCAGTGGGCCAGCTCCACCTGGGCTTTCAGGATGCAAAGCTTCTCTGTGGTCACAGGGCCTGGGAACACACTGCCTAGTGCTATCTTCCAGGAGTTCTGGGGTGGCACCCGCATCTCTTTGCTAGTAGTAGTGACCCCATAAGGACAGAGCTTGTTTTTTGAGACAGAGTCCCACTCTGTTGCCCAGGGTGGGATGCAGTGGTAGGTTCTCGACTCACTGCAACCTCTGCCTGCCAGGTCCCCAAGATCCTAATGCCTCAGCTTCCTGAGTAGCTGGGACTACAGGTACATGCCACCACGCCCACCTAATTTTTTAATATTTTTTAGTAGAGGCAGGGTTTCACTATGTTGGCAAAGCTGGTCTCAAACTCCTGGCGTCAAGCGATCCTCTGCCTTGGCCTCCCAAAGTGCTGGAATTACAGGTGTGAGCCAGCACACTTGGCCTCAGAGCAGAGATTTTTTTACTTTATACCCCTGCCCTCTGCCCCACAGCTGGCCGGCAGTAAATAACTGCTGAGTGAATGAGTTGGCAGGCTGCCTTATGGGCTCCCACACACCCCTCATTTCTCTCTTGCCACAGTGAGCCTCCCAAGGGCATCTAGGTCATTCCTTAGATCATGAGGCTGGATGCAGGCACACACTGACTGCCTTCACAAGCACAACTCTATGCTGGTGACTCTCAAAGATCCCCATCTAGGCCCCAGGAGGCACTTACTCGCCAGGATGTGGGGGCTGAGGGCTGGCCACCTGATTCTGCTTGGCTTTCTGTTCCATTTTGGCTTCAATTTCCCGTTTCTTCTGAGCAATGAGCTCTTCCTGGTGAAGGATGTTCATGTTCATTTTTCCAGATTTAGGGGGAGCAACCCCAAACCACCGGTTAGCCTTTCCTGGGGAGGGAAAAGGAGTACATCAGAAATCACCTTTGCTCCACAAACACCCCAAGAAGCTGTGACAGACCAGATGGCAAGATTAATTCACACAACCATTGGTTCATTCATTCAGCAGACACTTACAGAGTGCCTGCTGTGTACCAGGCCCTGTACTTACCAGGTGCTACACAAGACAGCGCGGGTCATTGCCCACGTGGGACTCACTTTGGGCTGGGAAGACAATAGACCCATAACAAAAAAGTAACTACACAGCCAAGTGCGGTGGCTCACATCTGTAATCCCAGCACTTTGAGAGGCTGAGACGGGTGGATCACGACGTCAAGAGATTGAGACCATCCTGGCCAAGGTGAAACCGTCTCTACTAAAAATACAAAAATGAGCCGGGTGTGGTGGTGCATGCCTGTAATCCCAGCTACTTGGGAGGCTGAGGCAGGAGAATCACTTGAAACAGGGAGTCAGAGGTTGCAGCGAACTGAGATGGTGCCACTGTACTAAAGCCTGGGTGACTCTGTGACTCCGTCTCAAAAAAAAAAAAAAAAATTTTTTTTTTTAAAGTGACTGCATAATGTGGTAAGAGCTCTGCTGAAAACTAAAAAACAGTGAAAAATAGTAACAGAAGAGTACATATGCAGGTAGGGCAGCCAGAAAATAAATACTAGAGGAGAAGACATTTAAACCAGAAAAAGCGAATAAGAAGCCAGCACCATGAAAAGCCAAATGGGAGATGATCTGGGCAGAGGAAGGAGCAGATGTGAAAGCCCAAGATAGGAAGAAGCCTGGTACATTGAAGGAGCAGCAAGTGCCCAGCATGGTCAGAGGGGCCTGCTCCAGGGAGAGGCAGAGGTGGGGCATGTCAGAGCATATGTGCTTTATTACAAGCACTTTGGGGAGTGATGGGGAAGCACTAAGATGAAGACTGACAAGATCCATTGGATCTTTTTTTTTTTTTTTTTTGAGACAGGGTCTGGCTCTGTTTCCCAGGCTGGAAGTACAGTGGTGTGATTTCAGCTCACTGCTGCCTCTGCCTCCCCAGCTCAAGCGATCCTCCTACCTCAGCCTCCTGAATAGCTGGGATTACAGGCATGTACCAACTCACTTGGCTGATGTTTAAATTTTTTCATAGAGATGAGGTCTTGCTATAGTGCCCAGGCTGGTCTCAAACAATCTTCCCACCTTGGTCTCCCAAAGTGCTGGGATTACAGGCATGAGCTACCGTGTCCCCAGTTGCCCTTTCTGAGACAAAGTCTCACTCTGTCACCCAAGCTGGAGGGCAGTGCAACCTCCATTTCCCAGGAGGTTGCAGTGTAATCTCAGCTCACTGCAACCTCCATTTCCCAGGTTCAAGCAATTCTCCTGCCTCAGTCTCCCATGTAGCTGGGATTAAAGGTGCCCATCACCATACCTGGCTAATTTTTATATTTTTAGCAGAGACAGGGTTTCACCATGTTGTCCAGGCTGGTCTCGAACTCTTGACCTAAAGTGATCCACCCATCTCAGCCTCCCAAAGTTTTGAGACAGGGTCTCACTGAGTTGCCCAGGCTGGAGTGCAGTTGCATGATAGTTCACTGCATCTTCAAACTCTTGGGTGCTAGAGATTCTCCCACCTCAGCCACCTGGATGGCTGGGACTACAGGCACACTCTACCAGGCCTGGCTATTCCCTTTTATTTTTTGTAGAGACAGGTTCTTGCTATGTTGCCTAGGTAGTCTTGAACTCCTGTCCTCAAGGGAGCCTCCCATGTAAGCCTCCCAAAGTGCTGGGATTTTAGGTGTGGATCGCTACACCTGGCCAATATCCACGGGGTCTTTCTGTTTTCATCCTGGCTACTAGGTAATCATTCTGGCCAGAAAATGCATAGGCAGCAAGACCAGGGAGGCTCACTGGTTCCAAGCAACAAACAATGACGTCTTCAGACTAGGGTGACAGCAGAGAGACAGGGAAGACACCTCAGAGGTTCCCCATGGGACTCAGAATAAAATCCAAATTCTTAAAGTCTGAGCCAGGCACGGTGACTCACACCTGTAACTCCAGCAATTTGGGAGAATGAGACAGGCAGATTACTTGAGGTCAGGAGTTTGAGACCAGCCTGGCCAACATGTTGAAACCCCATCTCTACTAAAAATACAAAAAATTTGGCGGATGCAGTGGCAAGCGCCTGTAATCCCAGCTACTCAAGAGGCTGAGGCAGGAGAATGGCTTGACCCGGGGAGGCAGAGGTTGGAGAGAGCCAACATGGCACCACTGAACTCCCACCTGGAAGACAAAGCAAAACTCCACTTCGGGGGGAAAAAAAAAGAGAATTCTAAAAGTTCATTTTCAAGGCCCTGCCACATGATTCCCCTCCCCACTTCTGCTTCATCCTTGACATTCTTCAAAAGGACAATCCCATCCCACCGTGACCTTTGCATTTATTGGCCCCCCTCTGCATGGAAGGCTCCACCCTCCAGGTATTCCCATGGCTGGCATTCATTGTCTCAACTCAAAGGTCTTCTGCTTGAAAAGGATTTACCTTGGGCCAAGTGTGGTGGCTCAACACTTTATTTAATCCCAGCACTTTGGGACGGTGAGGTGGGAGAATCCCTCGAGCCTAGCGTTCCAGACCAGCATGAGAAACATGACAAAACAATAAATATACAAATTAGCTGTGTGTGGTGGCGCACACCTGTGTCCCAGCTACTCGGGAGGCTAAGGTGGATCACCTGAATCGGGGAGCCACAGTGAGCCGTGATTGTGCTACTGCACTCCAGCCTGGGCGACAGAGTGAGACCCTGACTCCAAAAATAAAAAATAAAAGCAAAAAAGAAAAGGTCTTTCCTGACTACCCAATATCAGCAGCCTCCACCCCTCCACCTCACATAATAAGTCAGTCTTTGTAAATATTTTCTCATTAGTGCACTGACACCCCAGTAGAAAGAAACCTCCAGAAAGGCAGGGCCCTGTTTCGGCCACCGCTGCATGCGTAGCACCTAGCACAGTGCCTGGCACACAGTAAGCACACTCTAAGTATTTGGAGATGAGCGAATGAATTCTATTCTGGGTAAGTAGGAAAGCCAAGGCTTGCAGCAAAGTGAGGGTCAAAAGACGCGGGAAAGTTTGTCAAGGGAGCCTCAGAGCACTTCGGAAAAGCAGCTTTTCCAGAAAGCGGGACACAGGCCAGAGGGCAGCTGCTACGAAAAGAGGGGTGCAGGACAGCCCAAGGTTGCTGCTGCATCGGGGAACGGAGCTTGGAACAACCCTGAAGGCGGTTGTTTCGGAAACGGGACGCAGGGCCAAGCCGGGTGGCAGCCTCGACGGAGATCCGTGCGTCCTCAATAAACCAGGCGGGGGCCGCCAGCAACCTGGGTCTGGGGTCTCGGGAAACCAGGAGGTGCAGAAGCCGATGCTTTAGGCTGCCCAGGGGCTGAGGCGAGGCGTCCACTGGTCACAACAGGACCGACTCGAGGAGTAAGGGGAGACACGTAACCCTGGGACCCAGGCGAGCTTCTGAGGGGAGGCGGGGGCTGTTACCTGCAACATCCCGGTTGTCCATCTTGAGACTCATCCAATCCCACAATGCTCCGGTGCCACTTAAGGGGCCCAGTTATAGTGCGCATCGCCTGATGGGAGATGTAGTTCGCGTCAGTCAGACTCGCCCTATCACGTCGTGGGTGATTGGATTTTTTTACCTCAAGAAACAAAAGCCTTAGCCTACCGGCAATGCTTAAGTCTCAGCCATGATAAGCAGATGGTGTCGCCCTTTTTACACCTTCCCGAAGCGGCGGCATCCCGAATATAAACTACATGTTCCAGGATGCTTTAGGCGGCAGATCTCTCGCGAAAGCCGCGAGGAGCCCCGGGCCCCGCCCCGCGCGCCTTCTTCCGCCTCCCTGTGGCGGCGTCTTGTTGTTGTGGAGGCCAAAATGGCGGCTCAGGCGGCGGCAGCGGCTCAGGCGGCGGCGGCCCAGGCTGCGCAGGCCGAGGCGGCCGACTCGTGGTACCTGGCGCTTCTGGGCTTCGCTGAGCACTTCCGCACTTCCAGCCCGCCCAAAATCCGCCTGTGCGTACACTGCCTGCAGGCCGTGTTCCCCTTCAAGCCGCCGCAGCGCATTGAGGCCCGTACGCACCTGCAGCTGGGCTCCGTTCTCTACCACCACACCAAGAACAGCGAGCAGGCGCGCAGCCACCTGGAGAAGGCGGTGAGCGCGGGCCGGGCCGCGAGGGAGGAGTCGCGGGCTCCTTGCAAGACCTGGGATGACGGGTCGCGACCGCGGCGGGCGAGGGTCGCTCCTCGGCGACCTGGGGGCGAGACCTCCGTCAAAGCCGCAGGACCTTCTCCTGCCTCTGCCGGACCCCAAAGCTTCCAGCTTCTCAGGGGACACAAAGTCCTCGCCCCCCCCCCCCACGCCTTATTCTCCGTCTCTGGTGACAGGGCTCCAGGAGCCCCGTCACTGTACTTTGAAAGTTGCCTGTTCTTGGGAGCAACAGGATCCTCAAATCGTCTGGTTTTCAGATGAGCCCACATGTTGGTGGCGATGGGGACATCACTGGGTCCTGCAGCTACCAGCGCCTCCTAGTTCAGCTTCGGGAGCATCAGCCCCAAACGCTTCCACCTAAAGTGACTTGGGGTAGGGGTTGGCGGAGGCGAGACCCCTGGCTCCTCCCCGGGAATCTGAAGTCTGGTGTCTCAGGAACCGGGAAGGGCATCCTCCTCCTTGGACGTGGAAGTTTGATACTCGTTTCTGGAGAGTCCTGTGTCCTCATCAATAATTCCTGGTGTCATACGAGGGAAGCTGAGACCCAAAGTGTGAAGTGGGTCATTTGAGGCCTATGAGGAGGAGAAAGGGGTTCTGGTTCAGTTTCAGTATTAGGGGATCTTGCAGCTCTTGCTTTTTCTCTGTCTGCTGGTGACTTGTACCATCCACTAGTCCATCCTCTTGTGAGTGAGTCCCTCCCCTGTCCCAATTTGACTTCTGTGTCATCTTGGTGCGTCAAAGAATGCGGGAGAGTGGCTACCCTTTAAGAAACTTTCTAGGGCCGGGCTCAGTGGCTTCTGCCTGTAATCCCAGCATTTTGGGAGGCGGAGGCAGGCAGATCACTAGAACCCAGGAGTTTGAGACAAGCCTGGGCAACACTGAGACTCTGTTTCTACAAAAAATTAGGTGGGCGTGGTGGTATGGGCCTATGTAGTCCCATCTACTCCAGAGGCTGAAGTGGGAGGATCAACTAAGCCCAGGGAGGTGAAGGCTGCAGTGAGCAGTGATTGTGTGACTGCACTCCAGCCCAGGTGACAGAGTGAAATCTTGTCTCAGAAGAAAAAGGAAAAAAAGTAATAAAATTACAGGCTGTGGAGGCGTTTTTTTTCACAGCGATGCTGCTTCTGTCAGACCCCTGCCTCCCTTTTGCCATTTACCCAGCTCTGTCCTGCTTGAGTAGAGAATGCTTGAAAAGAATCAACTCAAATTTTAAAAACTCATTAATCTGAGGTAAATCCAAGCTCACCCTCAGCTAGTAACAAGTTGCCTTGACGAGTAGATCAAATCTTTGTTTCGCAGACTGTAAAAAGTTGGAAGGAGACTTTATTTTAATTATTTGTTTATTTTGAGACAGTTTTGCCCTTGTTGCCCAGGCTGGAGTGCAATGGCACAATCTCAGCTTACTGAAACCTCTGCCTCCCGGATTCAAGTGATTCTCCTGCTTCAGGCTGCTGAGTAGCTGGGATTGCAGGAACCCGCCACCACACCTGGCTAATTTTGAAAATATTTTTAGTAGACATGGGGTGTTACCACGTTGGCCAGGCTGGTTTTGAACTCCTAACCTTAACTGATCTGCCCGTCTCGTCTTCCCAAAGTGCTGGGATTACAGGCATGAGCCACCGTGCCCAGCCAATTTTATTTGTTTATTTTTTGAGACAGAGCCTCACTCTGTCACCCAGGCTGGAGTGTACTGGCGTGATCTCAGCTCACTGTAGCCCTGATCATCTGGGCTCAAGCAGACCTCCCATCTCAGCTTCCCATGTAGCTGGGACCATCACACCCAGCTAACTCTTGTGGGGTTTTTTTGTTTGTTTGTTTGTTTGTTTGAGGTAGAGTCCTGCTCTGTTCCCCAGGCTGGAGTGCAGTGGCATGATCTCGGCTCACTGCAACTTCCACTTCCCTCCTGGGTTCAAGCAATTCTCCTGCCTTAGCCTCCTGAGGAGCTGGGATTACAGACGTCTGCTACCACCCCCAACTAATTTTTGCATTTTTTGTAGAGATGGGGTTTCACCATGTTGGCCAGGCTGGTCTCGAACTCCTGATCTCGGGTGATCCACCTGCCTTGGCCTCCCAAAGTGCTGGGATTACAGGTGTGAGCCACTTTTTGTGTTTTTTGTAAAGACAGGATCTTGCCATGTTGCCTAGGCTGGGTCTTGAACTCCTGAGCTTAAGCCATCCACCTGCCTCAGGCTCCTAAAGTGCTGGAACTACAGGCTTGAGCCATCATGCTGGGCCTGGAAGGCAACTTTAGTCCTCACTTAATCAACTGCGTTGTTTCAGAAGTGAGGCAGTACGGCGGCCCCAGAGAGGTGAAGTGATTTGCCCAAGACTGCACAACAAGTTATTAACAAAACTCGGCTCAAACCCGGCTCAGCGATAACCAGGTTACGTGCCAAGATCTTACATCATCATTGTATTGGTGAAGTTTTTTTTCTTTGATTCATTCAGCAGATACTTGTTCAGCTCATGCGAGATGCCAAGCCCTGTTTTAGTTTAGGTGCCGGGGAATCTGCAATGGCTAAAACAGTCTCTGCCCACATAAGCCTAGGTTTTCGTGAGGAAGACAAATGATAAGCATGTAGTAAGAGGTTAGGCAGTGATGGAATAACGATGAAAACTGGACCAGGGAGAAGGGATAGAGTTGACTTGGAGCTATTTTTGGCAGGGGCAGTGAGGGAGTCTCTATTTGTGGGAGTGACATTTGAGCAGAGGCCTGAATGGTTGGAGCCTGAAGAACTGCTCAGGGGGTCAGGTTGATGGCAAGGAGTGATCAGTGCATGAGCTGTTGGGGACCAGCAGTCATTATCGGGGTCTCTCCAGGGTAATGATGAGGCGGAGATCAAATGAGGCACCAGGCTTTATCAACTAGGAAGCATCTGGTGACCCAACATCTCCAGTGGATGTGTTGGTTCAGAAACTCTCCCTTCTCTCCATTAACAGCTCCTGCCTTCTCTTGTCTCCTAGGGCTGTTCAGCCTATTTCTGGCAGTGGCTAATAGTCACTGTGTGTACCGTAGTATTTCGCCTACTCAGCCTTGTCTAGGAGAAGCAGTCATGGTGTAGATTGCTCTCTTTGCCACTTGGCTTTTGGACCCATAATTTAAACCCTTCTCCTGGTGAAGTGCCTTTGCTCTATTTAGTGGAACTCTGAATCTTGAGGGGTCTTCCGCTGAGCCACACAGTGCCCTCCGTAGCTCACACCAACTTTATTCCTGGAAATCCTGTTTTTTGTGGTTCCCTGGTTTCTGGTTCTGAAAAGCAAATGGCTGAAGAGGTTCCAGTATCTTCTCAGAGAGCCAACCCAGTGTAACAGTATTTTGCGGTGTTCTGGGACTTTTCTCCTTGCTCAATCTGCTGTTCTTTTTCATTCATTCATTCATTTATTCATTTTGAGAAGTAGTCTTATTCTGTCACCCAGGCTGGAGTGCAGTGGCACAATCTTGGCTGACTGAAACCTCTGCCTCCCAGGTTCAAGCAATTCTCCTGCCTCAGCCTCATAAGCAGCTGAGATTTGTAGATGCCCACCACCATGCCCAGGTAATTTTTGTATTTTTAGTAGAGACAGGTTTCTCCATGTTGGTCAGGCTGACCTCAAACTCCTAATCTCAGGTGATCCACTTGCCTCGGCCTCCCAAAGTGCTGGGATTACAGGTGTGAGCCACCACCCCGGCGTTTTGTAGGGGGAGGGGAGGGGAAGGGAAGAAGTCTCACTCCGTTGCCCAGGCTGGATTGCAATGGCGTGATTTCGGCTCACTGCAATCTCTGCCTCCCAGGTTAAAATGACTCTCCTGTCACAGCCTCCTGAGTAGCTGGGATTATAGGCACACACCACCACACCTGGCTAATTTTGTATTTTTAGAGATGGGATTTTATCATGTTGGTCAGACTGGTCTTGAACTCCTGACCTCAGGTGATCCACCTGCCTCTGCCTCCCAGAGTGCTGGGATTACAGGCATGAATGAGTCGCCGTTCCCAGCCTTATTTTTATTTTTTTGAGACAGTCTTGCTATGTTGCCCACCCTGGAGTGCAGTTGGTGTGACCTCAGCTCACCACAACCTCCACCTTCAAGGTTCAGGCAATTCTTGTGCCTCAGCCTCCTGAGTACCTGGGATTACAGGTATGAGCCACCATGCCCAGCTAATTTTTGTGTTTTTGGTAGGCTTGGCCAGGCTGGTCTCAAAGTGACCTGAAGTGATCCACCCACCTTGGCCTCCCAAAGTGCCGACATTACAGGGGTGAGCCGTCGTGCTGGGCATCTCTCTGTTCTTTACTGAACTAATTTTCTCTAACCTTAGTGCTTAGGTAACACCTATTAATGGCCTCTGAACTCACTGCTATATCCAGCTTTCCATCTTTTGCCTTCTCTCTGAGAGACCCCAGCCTCCTTGGTTATTGCATTTTTTTCTTTTTGAGATGGAGTCTTGCTCTGTCACCCAGGCTGGAGTGTAATGACATGATCTCAGCTCACTGCAACATCCGTCTCTCAGGTTCAAGCAATTCTCCTGCCTCAGCCTCCCAACTAACTGGGATTACAGGCGCCCATCACCATGCCCAGCTGAGTTTTTTGTATTTTTAGTAGAGATGGGGTTTCACCATGTTGACCAAGCTGGTCTCGAATTCCTGACCCTGTGATCCACCCGCCTAAGCCTCCCAAAGTGCTGGGATTACAGGCGTGAACCACCAGGCCTGTCCGATTGCAATTTTATTTAAGGTTATTTCTCTTGTATCTGCTTCTGTCAGTTTCTAATGGTCTCCTCAACTGCACTTCTTTTTTTTTTTGAGGCAAGAGTCTCTATTGCCCAGGCTGTAGTGCAGTGGCTCGATCTCTGATCATTGTAACCTCTGCCTCCAGAGTTGAAGTGATCCTCCCACCTCAGCCTCCTGAGTAGCTGGGACTACAGGTGTGTGTCACCACGCCTGGCCCTCACTGCATTTTAAGTCAT